TGAGGTGCATTTCCCGCAGCTTTTCCTCATAACTCATGCCTCTTAGTTCTGGGACTCGCCTCGTGGCATATGTCAAAACTTCTTCCAGCTTCGTCTTGTGCTTGACAAGGTACGGGCTCCATGCTGGGGCCACATACTTCAAAATTGGTCTTACGTACGTGGTATACGAGGTTCTGAAGGATTCCTAACACGAGTTCCTGAAAGCAGTTCTGATGTTAGCCAGCCTCGCGCACGCCGCTGATGTTATTATTTTGATGTGGGCTTCAGGAGACAGGTTTGGCGTGATATCAACTCCTAGATCTTTCTCTCTGTCCGTTTCGTGAAGGACTTCATCTACCATTCGGTTTACTATACAATGGCAGGATACACACAGCTCACTTCACAATGACACCAGACTCAACATGACACCAGATTCAACCTGACACCAGACTCATCATGACACGAGACTCAACATGACACCAGACTCAACATGACACCAGACTCAACATGACACCAGACTCAACATGACACCAGACTCAACATGACACCAGACTCAACATGACACCAGACTCGACCTGACACCAGACTCAACATGACACCAGACTCAACACGACACCAGACTCAACATGACACCAGACTCAACATGACACCAGACTCGACATGACACCAGACTCAACACGACACCAGACTCAACACGACACCAGACTCAACATGACACCAGACTCAACATGACACCAGACTCGACATGACACCAGACTCGACATGACACCAGACTCAACATGACACCAGACTCAACATGACACCAGACTCAACATGACACCAGACTCATCATGACACCAGACTCAACATGACACCAGACTCATCATGACACCAGACTCAACATGACACCAGACTCAACATGACACCAGACTCATCATGACACCAGACTCATCATGACACCAGACTCATCATGACACCAGACTCAACATGACACCAGACTCAACATGACACCAGACTCATCATGACACCAGACTCATCATGACACCAGACTCATCATGACACCAGACTCATCATGACACCAGACTCAACATGACACCAGACTCAACATGACACCAGACTCAACATGACACCAGACTCAACATGACACCAGACTCATCATGACACCAGACTCATCATGACACCAGACTCATCATGACACCAGACTCATCATGACACCAGACTCATCATGACACCAGACTTATCATGACACCAGACTCATCATGACACCAGACTCATCATGACACCAGACTCAACATGACACCAGACTCAACATGACACCAGACTCAACATGACACCAGACTCATCATGACACCAGACTCAACATGACACCAGACTCATCATGACACCAGACTCATCATGACACCAGACTCAACATGACACCAGACTCATCATGACACCAGACTCATCATGACACCAGACTCATCATGACACCAGACTCATCATGACACCAGACTCATCATGACACCAGACTCATCATGACACCAGACTCATCATGACACCAGACTCAACATGACACCAGACTCAACATGACACCAGACTCATCATGACACCAGACTCATCATGACACCAGACTCAACATGACACCAGACTCATCATGACACCAGACTCAACATGACACCAGACTCATCATGACACCAGACTCAACATGACACCAGACTCATCATGACACCAGACTCAACATGACACCAGACTCATCATGACACCAGACTCATCATGACACCAGACTCAACATGACACCAGACTCATCATGACACCAGACTCAACATGACACCAGACTCATCATGACACCAGACTCATCATGACACCAGACTCATCATGACACCAGACTCATCATGACACCAGACTCATCATGACACCAGACTCAACATGACACCAGACTCATCATGACACCAGACTCAACATGACACCAGACTCATCATGACACCAGACTCATCATGACACCAGACTCATCATGACACCAGACATGACACCAGACTCATCATGACACCAGACATGACACCAGACTCATCATGACACCAGACTCAACATGACACCAGACATGACACCAGACTCACATGACACCAGACTGACACCAGACTCATCATGACACCAGACTCAACATGACACCAGACATGACACACCAGACTCAACATGACACCAGACTCATCATGACACCAGACTCATCATGACACCAGACTCAACATGACACCAGACTCATCATGACATGTCAATCAAATTTCAGCCGATTTACACCAGATTTCTTCCTGAAGAATGAACATCGATTGTTAATAAATGTCTGCTGAGGGGATGGCAACAATGTCTGCTGAGGCGATGGTAACAATTCTGCTGAGGGGGATGGTAACAGTGTCTGCTGAGGGGGATGGTAACAGTGTCTGCTGAGGGGATGGTAACAGTGTCTGCTGAGGGGATGGTAACAGTGTCTGCTGAGGGGGATGGTAACAGTGTCTGCTGAGGGGATGGCAACAGTGTCTGCTGAGGGGATGGTAACAGTGTCTGCTGAGGGGATGGTAACAGTGTCTGCTGATGGGATGGTAACAGTGTCTGCTGATGGGATGGTAACAGTGTCTGCTGATGGGATGGTAACAGTGTCTGCTGAGGGGATGGTAACAGTGTCTGCTGAGGGGATGGTAACAGTGTCTGCTGAGGGGATGGTAACAGTGTCTGCTGAGGGGATGGTAACAGTGTCTGCCGAGGGGATGGTAACAGTGTCTGCTGAGGGGGATGGTAACAGTGTCTGCTGAGGGGATAGCAACAGTGTCTGCTGAGGGGATGGTAACAGTGTCTGCTGAGGGGATGGTAACAGTGTCTGCTGATGGGATGGTAACAGTGTCTGCTGATGGGATGGTAACAGTGTCTGCTGATGGGATGGTAACAGTGTCTGCTGAGGGGATGGTAACAGTGTCTGCTGAGGGGATGGTAACAGTGTCTGCTGAGGGGATGGTAACAGTGTCTGCTGAGGGGATGGTAACAGTGTCTGCCGAGGGGATGGTAACAGTGTCTGCTGAGGGGGATGGTAACAGTGTCTGCTGAGGGGATGGCAACAGTGTCTGCTGAGGGGGATGGTAACAGTGTCTGCTGAGGGGATGGTAACAGTGTCTGCTGAGGGGGATGGTAACAATGTCTGCTGAGGGGGATGGTAACAGTGTCTGCTGTGGGGGATGGTAACAATGTCCGCTGAGGGGGATGGTAACAATTCTGCTGAGGGGATGGTAACAGTGTCTGCTGAGGGGATGGTAACAGTGTCTGCTGAGCGGGATGGTAACAGTGTCTGCTGAGGAGATGGTACCAGTGTCTGCTGAGGGGATGGTAACAGTGTCTGCTGAGGGGGATGGTAACAGTGTCTGCTGAGGGGATGGTAACAGTGTCTGCTGAGGGGGATGGTACCAGTGTCTGCTGAGGGGATGGTAACAGTGTCTGCTGAGGGGATGGTAACAGTGTCTGCTGAGGGGATGGTACCAGTGTCTGCTGAGGGGATGGTAACAGTGTCTGCTGAGGGGATGGTAACAGTGTCTGCTGAGGGGATGGTAACAGTGTCTGCTGAGGGGGATGGTAACAGTGTCTGCTGTGGGGGATGGTAACAATGTCCGCTGAGGGGGATGGTAACAATTCTGCTGAGGGGATGGTAACAGTGTCTGCTGAGGGGGATGGTAACAGTGTCTGCTGAGCGGGATGGTAACAGTGTCTGCTGAGGAGATGGTACCAGTGTCTGCTGAGGGGATGGTAACAGTGTCTGCTGAGGGGGATGGTAACAGTGTCTGCTGAGGGGATGGTAACAGTGTCTGCTGAGGGGGATGGTACCAGTGTCTGCTGAGGGGATGGTAACAGTGTCTGCTGAGGGGATGGTACCAGTGTCTGCTGAGGGGATGGTAACAGTGTCTGCTGAGGGGATGGTAACAGTGTCTGCTGAGGGGATGGTAACAGTGTCTGCTGAGGGGATGGTAACAATGTCTTCTTAGGGATTGTACTAATGTCTGCTTAGAGGATAACAATGTCTGCTGAGGGGAGGGTAACAGTATCCTCAAGTCGCCACCTGTCTGCTGAGGGGATGTAACAGTGTCTGCATGTCGCCCAATGTCTGCTGAGGGGATGTAACAGTGTCTGCATGTGGCAACATTCGAAGACGGTCCAGCAGACATGTCAACTGGTTCTGACAGTGTTTATTTAATGTCCTGAAACACAGCACCGAAGGGAAATAAATTGCAAGGATATTTTTAATGCATAAATTATTAAATAATTTTTATTGTTGTAAAATACTTTTAATAACGTTAAAGTGTATTAAACAGCCAGACTGTCCACCTTTTCTTATCGTTCATGTGTGACCAGACATCTACCCTAAACATCAGACATCTACCCTAAACATCAGACATCTACCCTAAACATCCAGGCATCTCCAGGAGCATTTTAATATTTTTTTAAACTTACACAATTATTTCATTCATTATATATGTAAAATACATTAAATAAATCTAAAGTTCAATAAAAGTCACATAGGTACCCATTCTGTCTTACCATTAATTTCTCCTCCACAAATACGTCCTAAAAACTGGAGAGTCCGGTACAAAGCAGGATTCCTGGCGTGTGTAACCGGAGGAGTAGAGAACCGGTTGACTTACTAACCTTGGGCAAGAATATTACTGTTCTCCCAGTAATGTAACGTCATCCCACGTGTTAACCTCAAGTATGTTTATTGAGATAAGCAATAAATACATCTCAAAGGGATAGAGTAGCTTAGGCTATTTCTACCCTCCCTTGATGACCTCTATGTTCCCTCAGCCTGGCCGCTGGCCTCGCTTGGGGATAAGCCGATGGCTATATTATGTCTACACATTTCTCAAAGTTTATTTAGTAGACAAAAACAAGTTCATATCAACAGACGCCATCATCATTATATTACTACAATGAACACATATCAACAGACGCCATCATCATTATATTACTACAATGAACACGGTTACATAACCAAGCTATTTTTGTCAAATAAAGTGATCACTCTCTCCTTTCAGGCAGTGCCTCTCTTCGTGTTCTTCATCTCCTTGGAGGTGGCAGTTCGATACCTATTGGGCAAACCTGCCAGGATGAACCAGATATTTTCCTCTATAGGTGTTGGCATCCTCCACGAGGCTACAGGGTAAGCAACACCACAGCTCTCTGCATGTCCATCTTATCAACCACTAAACATTATTTAAATAATGTTGTTTAAATAGTGTTTAAATGTAACTGTTATCATTTTAATAAATTTTGCAAGTATTTATCTACTTATAAGTTTCTTAGATTAAGGACCTGCCCGAAACGCTGCGCGTACTAGTGGCTTTACAAGACTGTAATTACTATGCTACGTATCCTCACAATCCCAATGTACCTTCTTGTATATATATAAATAAATAAATACATAACTAAGCATTAAACTTTGACTAAAACGACGAAACTTAACATCAGTGTCATTTATGTTACGAGACACTAACACCACATTTAATAATAGTATTTACAGTGAGAAGACCTGCACATTGTAACCCTTGTAATATCTGAGAAAGCTGTAAGAAGGCTGTAAAATGTGGAGTATCTAATCAGGTATACAAATTAGCTGTGAAATGGTGAAATGTCCCTGTAAACAATTTTTACTCATCATTTGGGGGGTAAACAAGAGGTGGGGTTACATATTTTTAGTCCAATATTGATTTCTATATATTTTGATCAATTGATCAAATTAGTGTCTCCGTGGTGTAGTGGTAAGACACTCGCCTGGCGTTCCGCGAGCGCTATGTCATGGGTTCGTATCCTGGCCGGGGAGGATTTACTGGGCGCAATTCCTTAACTGTAGCCTCTGTTTAACGCAACAGTAAAATGTGTACTTGGTTGTAACAACGATTCTTCGCGGCAGGGGATCGTATTCCAAGGACCATAGGATTAAGGACTTGCCCGAAACGCTACGCGTACTAGTGGCTGTACAAGAATGTAACAACTCTTGTATATATCTCAAACAAATTGTTGAAAGAGCTCGCTGTCGCAGAGGCAGTGGTGCTAAGACCAATGTTTTTAGTTATGTTGATGATCTATGCTACTCGTACAGACCAAAGATCATAAGGAAAACTTGATAGAAATAGGTGAAAGATATAGTGCAGAATATAATGTTCAATCCTGTCAAATGTGCTGTTGTTACTTTTAACTCATAACTCGTTTTTATATAGTTTCTAAACTAAAATTCCTAGACAAAGAGATTCCAGTAAAATATTTTGAAAAGCATCTGGGGTCTATTAAATCCTCAAAGTGGCCGCTTGTAAATTTTTCTGGTGCTATTGGAGACTTAAAAGTCAATACATGTCATCATGAGTGAATTTGGTCATCATGATACCTGGTCGAAACAAAACATATATTGGTGAATGTTTAAGCTTGTATGAATGTGAACTACGGGACCCATAGAATGCTGACCTTGATAAACTTAATTGTTGACAAAGAAAATGTTCAAGACGTGACATAGAAGTCCATCCTGGCGCACATTACAATCTCTTACCTGGACTGAGGTCCACACCCACACTTTTGACTTCACACATTAACATCAGACAAAAGAGTCAACTGAAATCATGTCTATGACTCTAAGCCATCACAATAGCATATAATAAAGTATTTTAATATTTACTTTTATGCCCCCCCCCAAAAAAAAAAAAAAAAAAAAATTGATTTTTTTCTCATTGTTTTTTCGTATTGTTTATCAGCCGATTTACATGAAACTTATACACCTTACAGAACGTATGACTATCTGTAAAGATGCAAATTTTGGAGGAAATTGGAAGAAACAATTATAAGAAGGAAAGGCATTTTTGTCAGAAGGGAATCACTCATCCAGCAAACACAATCAACTCTTTTTTTTTTTACTCATTTCCTTATCACTGGCCCCACAAAATTGTCCACACATATTAAGCTTATTGTTGGGAAATACAACTTAAGAGGGACATATTACGAAAATATACTATAAATGAAAACTTTTCTTTTTCAAAAGGACCAATCCTTTTGTATAATTCTCCTAGTCTCTTCTTTCCTTTTCTGTGAATTTGCTAATTGGAGGGCAACATACCTGGTTGATGGGGTTCTGGGAGTTGTTCTACTGCCCAAGCCCGGCCCGAGGCCAGGCTTGACTTGTGAGAGTTTGGTCCACCAGGCTGTTGCTTGGAGCGGCCCGCAGGCCCACATATACCTGGTTGATGGGGTTCTGGGAGTTGTTCTACTCCCCAAGCCCGGCCCGAGGCCAGGCTTGACTTGTGAGAGTTTGGTCCACCAGGCTGTTGCTTGGAGCGGCCCGCAGGCCCACATATACCTGGTTGATGGGGTTCTGGGAGTTCTTCTACTCCCCAAGCCCGGCCCGAGGCCAGGCTTGACTTGTGAGAGTTTGGTCCACCAGGCTGTTGCTTGGAGCGGCCCGCAGGCCCACATATACCTGGTTGATGGGGTTCTGGGAGTTCTTCTACTGCCCAAGCCCGGCCCGAGGCCAGGCTTGACTTGTGAGAGTTTGGTCCACCAGGCTGTTGCTTGGAGCGGCCCGCAGGCCCACATATACCTGCTTGATGGGGTTCTGGGAGTTCTTCTACTGCCCAAGCCCGGCCCGAGGCCAGGCTTGACTTGTGAGAGTTTGGTCCACCAGGCTGTTGCTTGGAGCGGCCCGCAGGCCCACATATACCTGGTTGATGGGGTTCTGGGAGTTCTTCTACTCCCCAAGCCCGGCCCGAGGCCAGGCTTGACTTGTGAGAGTTTGGTCCACCAGGCTGTTGCTTGGAGCGGCCCGCAGGCCCACATATACCTGGTTGATGGGGTTCTGGGAGTTCTTCTACTGCCCAAGCCCGGCCCGAGGCCAGGCTTGACTTGTGAGAGTTTGGTCCACCAGGCTGTTGCTTGGAGCGGCCCGCAGGCCCACATATACCTGGTTGATGGGGTTCTGGGAGTTGTTCTACTGCCCAAGCCCGGCCCGAGGCCAGGCTTGACTTGTGAGAGTTTGGTCCACCAGGCTGTTGCTTGGAGCGGCCCGCAGGCCCACATATACCTGGTTGATGGGGTTCTGGGAGTTCTTCTACTCCCCAAGCCCGGCCCGAGGCCAGGCTTGACTTGTGAGAGTTTGGTCCACCAGGCTGTTGCTTGGAGCGGCCCGCAGGCCCACATATACCTGGTTGATGGGGTTCTGGGAGTTCTTCTACTGCCCAAGCCCGGCCCGAGGCCAGACTTGACTTGTGAGAGTTTGGTCCACCAGGCTGTTGCTTGGAGCGGCCCGCAGGCCCACATATACCTGGTTGATGGGGTTCTGGGAGTTCTTCTACTGCCCAAGCCCGGCCCGAGGCCAGGCTTGACTTGTGAGAGTTTGGTCCACCAGGCTGTTGCTTGGAGCGGCCCGCAGGCCAACAAAAACCAGGTTGATGGGGTTCTGGGAGTTCTTCTACTCCCCAAGCCCGGCCCGAGGCCAGGCTTGACTTGTGAGAGTTTGGTCCACCAGGCTGTTGCTTGGAGCGGCCCGCAGGCCCACATATACCTGGTTGATGGGGTTCTGGGAGTTGTTCTACTGCCCCAAGCCCGGCCCGAGGCCAGGCTTGACTTGTGAGAGTTTGGTCCACCAGGCTGTTGCTTGGAGCGGCCCGCAGGCCCACATACCCACCACAGCCCGGTTGGTCCGGCACTCCTTGAAGAAAACTATCTAGTTTTCTCTTGAAGATGAACATCCATCATCGTTTTTCCCACTGCATTGTTGCTATTGACTACTTGGGCCTACGAGGCGTCATTCACAGGGTTCATGTTTTCAAGTCTACCCTCAGTGGTTGTTAGTCTCTTTTGGCACAGTACATTATCTGTCTCCTTCGTTTGGGCTTTGTTCATGTTATCTGCTAATTTTCTTATTTTTTGTTCCAGTTTTGCGTTTTCTCCTGTTATTTTTTCTCCCAAGTTACCCTCATTTTCTCCATTTCCTTTTGGTAAAGGGCAGTCTCCGTGGTGTAGTGGTAAGACACTCGCCTGGCGTTCCGCGAGCGCTATGTCATGGGTTCGTATCCTGGCCGGGGAGGATTTACTGGGCGCAATTCCTTAACTGTAGCCTCTGTTTAACGCAACAGTAAAATGTGTACTTGGTTGTAACAACGATTCTTCGCGGCAGGGGATCGTATTCCAGGGACCTGCCCGAAACGCTACGCGTACTAGTGGCTCTACAACAATGTAACAACTCTTGTATATATCTCAAAAAAAAAAAAAAAAGTTTTAAGATTCCTCGTACTTCTTCATCATTCTCTCATGGCACTAATTTTTCTCTCTCCATTGTCCCCTGATTCTGAAATTCTGAAGTTCTTCACCAATTCTGGATATTTTG